TGACTTGTCCAGCTCACAAAAAGACGATGTCTTATTAAATGCTCATGAAATTATTGCAGTGCCCGCCCACGAAAAAACAGAAAGTGAATCAAACAGCATAATAAAGACAGATGCACTAAATAGAGCCAATCATTTTATAAAAAGTTTCTGATGAATGTACTTATCGGGGTTCTCTAGTTGTTTTACCATATATGAGTCATTAAGACTCACATGTTTTTAATCAAATTTCTTACAAAAATGAGGAAAATTTGTCGGATGCATCAGACGATGATCAAGAATCTAATAAAATTTTTATAGATGCTGATTATTCTAGTGATCGATTATCTACTAATGAGATTTTCAAGAGATTTGATGAAAATGTTTCACAAGAATCAAACCTTAATGACCTCATATCTAGCGTCGTTGATCCTTACTATCTAATCAGTTCTAGTGGACTCTCTACTCAATGTGGGAAATATGTTTTTAATAGTAACTTGGGAATATGAGGACCCAACATTATTTCGTAGGGGAGGATAAAGTCAGAAAATTTAGTCAGGATCTAAAATTTGAGTCTTCAAAAAAAGGAGGGGAAGGTGATATGACGAGAAGAAAAGTCAAAATTCAGTTGATTTACTCATTATGAGTTTTGTACAACATTTTTTCCGTTCTGAATCAATATGATAATCATTCAGTGTAGTATTCGGTTTTCTTTCCTCGTATAATATTTTATTCTGTATAATATACGATATTCTTGTACTCAATTGATAAGTTATAACAATTAAAATAACTACTGAACATCCCATCATTTATTACAACTAAATTTTAAATTATGCTAAAGTTAACTGCTCAAATACTGTTACTATAGATACTAATTAAGTAATTTACGACTAAATTTTAGCTAATTGTGAAAAATATGGACTGGAACAACAACAGTTAGATAAATACAAAGAAATAGTAACTTCGAAACTTGGGAAATCACAAGAAGTAAGTAGTATATTCAAACATTTTATCTTCATCATTTATAAACAGACTCAAGCTATAATGCATAGTAATTTGAACCCCATAGTGATTATTGAATAATTAAAAGCTTCGTGTTGGATACAATATTCAATTTCATTGAACGATTTACGATTATAATTACACTGTACCACTTAGAGTAAAATATCTTTTCAGCACTTCTTCGCTTCCAACGTTTCTGTAATTGACATTATTTAGTAATGAAAATTAAACTTAAAAGACTTGAGTTTTACCTTATCAATATATATTTTACAAATTAAGTAAATGAATATGTATATCTCTTTGTATATTTCAATGATTAATTCTTTTGTTTAATATAAATAACAACAACTAACATATAGGACAAATGAGATTTTTAAGCAATAGATAAACAATTGAAAAAAACTACAAGGTTTAGCAATCTGTAAGTATCATTACATAAATCCGAATAAATTGAACATTAAACAGTTTGTTAATACTAAAACTTATGATAAATTCATAATATCCTAGTAAGTATGGAATGGAATTTCTGATATTTGATTGCTTGGTTTAAGTTGTTTCTTCAGGGAGCAAATAAATTTCAATTGTTTAGATCATGAGTCAATTGAAGCTAGACCACCATAGAAAACCTGAAAGCACTAGACGGCCGTTTCGTCCTATTATGGGACTCTTCAGCAGTGCGCATCCAGTGAGAAGCAGTGACCAGTGGAGTTCAACCCGGTATGTTGTGAGATAGTAACTCACTGATGACAATGGTGAACGTGTCGCTCAATTTCGTGGATCAGTTGAAGTTAAACATTAACATCGCTGGATGCCAGATCAGTGGTCTAGTGGTTAAGTGCTCGCGCGCGAGACTGATATATCCTGGGTTCGATTCTCGCGGGGGGCGGGATCGTGGATGTGCACTACTGAGGAGTCCCACACCAGGATGAAACGGTCGTCCAGTGCTTCTAGGTTTTCCATGTTGGTCTAGCTTCAATTGACTCATGATCTTCACTATTGAAATTACTATAATGTCTACAGAAAAACCTCTTCTCATATGATGAATTAATCTATATGTTTTTAATGAGTATTTGTCAAATAGGAAGCTCCATTATGAATCGTCAATCATTTGAATGTTATTTAAACTTTCCTAAATTATAAACCAACTTATTATGAATTGTTTTACTCAGATTTGTTTCATAAAATTATTTGGATATGTAAATAACAGAATTTATAAATTGTAGTACTTTTCAACCCAATAATTACTGAAGTTATAAGTTTAACTAATAAAGGTATTTGTGACCGCTTATTTGGCTTCTTATGTTCTGATCAAAGAATTCCAAGAACTAATTTCATGATATACGTGATCTGTTGATAATGTAAACAAATACGAGAAGTTTATTGATAGTGGTGTATGCAAGACTATGATAAGATTTCGTTTAAAAAACTTTCCACTAGTAGTTCATACATACATAACAGCAAGATTTCGAAATTACGTCATCATTTGTAAAAGAAACGCTCTACTAACCAATATAAATACAATATTTTTAATTTACTTAAGCAGTTAAGCAAAATTTATTTAAGTTTAAGTAACTCAACTGTTTCAACTGTATTAATGAAAGCATCTCACGGATAATTTGAGCAGCAAGAATGTTAAACAATTATTACTATTTTCTTTAACTCATTATCACCACAACTGACCAATCCAATTATTTACGTAGGTCAGTGGAATAGAGGAAAGAAAAATACAATTTATATTAAAGTTAAACTGACTTCTTGAAATAGTCAATTGAGAAGAACCTTTTTTGGATTATTACCGAAATGTCATGAAGCATGGAGCATATACTTTCTTCGATAACTCATACTCTTTAAACTAACATTAATCCATGATTTTTTTTAAAAAAGACTACCTTTCATGGATAATATTTTACTTAATGCTAGATAACTGTCATTTAGTTCATTTTGTCAATTGATTTCAAGAAGAAATATTTATTATTTCATTTGTAGACCATGGAAAAAAGATTACTGACATACTTTTGTACGTACATGTACATACATGTATTTGTACAATTAAGGCATATTTACCAGGCACACCGCTATTCAATAAATTTTCCCTTCTATTCAAATTAATTGTATTCCATACAATCTGTCTATCTTCATCATTAGTGTGTACATATTTTCAATTAATTCATTTCCGAAGGGTAAGGGAGAGAGATACGATGAGGAATCAACATTAAATTGTTTTTCTCTAGCTCTATGTTCTTTTTTAAATTCTTTTTTTTTCTTCTGTAAAAAGAAACATTCTCTTCTACTTGTAAATTACTATCGAATGTATGTTCCGTTCTATGTATGTACTTATTCACATCTAAACACCAAATTATTGTTAGTTTATACTTTGTAAATTTCATGTTATAAAAAAGTAATGATAATACAATGGTATTATAGAATCCTATTTTCAGTGCACAAATAATGTTAGAATATATATATATATGCTCCTGACAGAGTGATTTATGCATCAGAACCATTTTAGATACATTCATTTAAAAAGAATAAGAACAAAGTGTGCACAAACTGTGTTCGACGAACCTTCAGTAAACCTGAAGGTGCTTTTTTAAGTTAATGTACCATGTATAACCGTTCCGTGATGTATATAACTCAGCTAACAATTCAATATCATCAGAGTATATATATATTACTTACTATTCGCATAAGTAATTTTTATGATCCAAATATTACAACTATATTTTAATATGATGTATACTGTTTTTATTTACTTTCATAGTAAATATGACTAATTTCGATTTGCACTTGATGTATGTTATATTTTTGTTTGTCATTTTAACTTCTAAAAGGTTCACATTTCTCCCTCAAAATATCTTTAGAAAAATGTAGATGAAGTTACATTGAAGCAAAAATGATCCAAACATAATTTTATTTGCTTAAAGTATCCATAGATCGTATTTAATTTATACTGATTCTATATATACCATAATATTGATCAAATGAATATCTCCTATAGTGGAGAAGATTTGTAGTTCAGGTGGATGATTTTGATGGAGTTTTGTTCTCTGAGCTGGATAGTCTAGTCGTTTAGTTTAATTGACTAAACTATGCAGCTCAGAGAACAAAACCCCATCAAAAAGATCTTCTATAATAGATAAAATATAATCTCATTATCATCAGAACTCTCATAATCTAAAGTTTAATTAATTTAACAATTTGAAGACTTAGTAACAAAGATAAATCTTACTTTCTTATTACCTACTATTGTTAACAAATACAATAAAGAACTAATCATCGAATTAGGATAATATCATTAATTCATTCAATGATATTTTTACTAACCACATTTTAGTATTATTTTACCTACATAACTCATTTATTTTTACTAATGCACTGGTTTAAATTTACGGATTCAATATCAACATTAAATTTTTATTTTCCCCATTTGTTGCATAATCTTTTGAGTAATATTAATAACTTTTTTGCATGTATTTCTTTTCCCTGTCCCATTTTATTGTTTCCATAGCTAATTGTATGTTTCATTTCACTGAAAAACTCGAAATCAATAAACTAAAAGTTTAATCATTTTATTGATAAGTTATTTTCGATCAATAACATCATCACTTAAGAACGTAGATCGTGTATTAGTTGGAGTTAAAAATTAACACTGTTAGATACTGGCTCAGTGGTCTAGAAGTTAAGCGTTCGCGCACGGAACCGATAAATCCTGGGTTTGAATCTCGTGAGGCGGGATTGTGAATGCACATTTCCAAGGAATCCCGTAATAGGACAAAACGGCCGTCCAATACCTCCAGGTTTTCCATGGTATTCTAGTTTTAATTGACTTATGATCTCAAATATTAAGTTTACCGTAATATCCACAAAACCCCCTTCTGATATCAATGTAATTTTTTCCCTATTCAATTCATATTTCACAAAACAAATTACTTGAAAATACATCTATGCCATAATTAAATAGTTATTTTATCAATATCTATTCATAGATTAGAACTACATTGTGTTCACTTTTATAAAGTGTACCATGATGGTGAAAGTCAATAATTCATTTAGAAAAATTCGAAACAGTTTATTTGAATAAATAAATAGAGCTAAAAATTCTGGAAATATCCTGGAAATATTTCCATACAACATTCTGTTCAATTTTTTTTATTTTAGTTGTTGATGAATATTATAATCTATTACAGTCAACTGACATCTACTTTGATCTAATGTATTAATTTAACCTGTCAATCGATTATACTAAATAATTTATTGAGATTAAAGCGATTCTCATTTCTTTACTGTTTAATACATTTTTAGTAAAACAGAATTTTAGATACATTTTCTCAGATACAAAATTATTAGATTATTGGATACCACAATACATATAGTAGAGACCACAAGACCAAAATTTTAAAAATTTTTTCAATTTGTTACAGTTCAATTAAAGTTAGTCAAATAAAATGTCTGTTAACAACATATACGTGGTTTGTTTGTTTATGTTTATTATTATTTTTTCAAGGTCATTCAACATAATGAACAAAAGTTCATAACTTTGATAGGTAATTAAACTTGTTATCAAATTAACAGTGAAATGTGCATTTTGTGTCTGTGAATTCATATATATATATGTACTTGTGGAATACAATATCATTAATTGAGGAAATTGTAATTTATAATAATCTAATGAATGTATTCATATCATTAGACTCCTGTTATCGTAATCAATTCTAATATCCTTTTTTGTAAAGATTATCATATTAAAATATTCTTACCAACTGTTGAAATGATGGCGCTGAGCGTTCATTTAAAAAATGTGATTGATTCATGTTTGTACTACTATTATTAGTAGCATTATTTGAATTAGTATTAGCGGTAGTTGTAGTATTAATAACAGTAGTATCCACATTGTTACCATTTGAAGGAATTAATAAACTATTACATCTTAAATGATTTGCTGAAGAGATATCATTTGTTGTTGTTCCCGTCATTGGTAAATTTAATGATGAATTACTGAAGTTATTTGACTGAATACAATTGAAATTTTGTCCTGATGATGATATACATGAAGGAGTGGATGAATTTGACAATAAAGATGGAATTCCTGTTAATGATGATGTTTGTAATAATGGTTGTGGTAGGGTCGGAGGTGGTGGGATTAAATTAGACATTGTTGGATTTAATAAGCACCCAGATGAATAATTGGTAATTGGGTGATCATTTAATGAATTTGTATGATAATTTATTAATGAATTCGGTGATGAAGTTGATAATGAGGTATTTTCAGTTGATTGTCTAATCAATTTATTATTTGATTGATTTAATGATAAATTAGAAGGACTATGTGATCGATATAATCCATTGGTTGATCGTGAATTTAAATCATTTTGTACATTTTGTGTATTCCAATATGGTCCTGGGATATGATGTACATCAATGCCGGAATTCGCACACATTAAGTTCACATCATTACGAACAGGACTTTGTGCAATCAATGAAATACCATGTAAACTACCGGGACGTCCACCATTCTGAAATTATAAAAATAGTGTCAAACACCAAGAATAATGAAAGAAGAACATAAGAACAATAATTATAAACTTCTTAAGTCAAGAAGATCTTGTCCATAAATTCCAAGAAATAGTCGTTTATCTTCGAATCAAATTTTGCAACATTTCAAGTGGGATTTTATAGTCGACTTCTATCAATCGTAAAATAAACAAGCAAACAAAAAGTGTAATGTCAGTTGAAGCTAGATCAACATGAAAAACATGGAAGCACTGAACGGCCGTTTAGTTCAAATATGGAACTCCTCAGCAGTGCGCATCCACAACCTCACCCCCTGAGGGATTCAAACCCGGGACCTATCAGTCTGGCGCGCAAACGCTTAACCACTAGACCACTGAGCTGGCATCAACGGCGTTAATGTCTAACTTCAACCAATCCTCGAAATTGCGCCACCGTACACCATTGTCTAATCGTTAAGCACTCGCGCGCCAGGCGGATAGGTCCTGGGCTCGAGTCTCGTAGGGGGGGCGGGATCGTGGATGCGCACTGCTGAAGAGTCCCATACTAGAATGAAACGGCCGTCCAATGCTTCCAAGTTTTCTATGGTGATCTAGCTTCAAATGACTCACGATCTCCACAAAACTCCTTCTGATAATAAACCAATCTATCTGATATTTTTGCTAAAATTTATTAAGAAATTTGTATCTTACTACCATTTAAAATTATTTCTAATAGCTTAGCAACGAAAGTAAAAATCAAGATATAATGTCAATATAAAATGAAACCATTTGAATGAATTATTGAATGACATTAGATTAAAACTCATAAAATAGATTATTGAAATTATCATTTTATAAAAATTATTCCTTAATAATTCTTTATTCTTTATCTATTTCTTTTTATATAAAATTTATAAATATACTTTCTAATTAATGAATACTTAATCTGATTCATGCGTATTATTGACTGTAAAAACATTTAGAAAATGATTACTTAATTAAACAAATGTTCATCTAATTAATTGCTACGTACTCTCTTATCTTCTATTTTATATATATATGCGTATACACGTAAATACTCTTATGGAACAAAGAAAAACGCGATATATTTACTACACTGTAGGACAGAGTAATATGAATTCTGCAGAAAAAGAGAGTAAGGAAGAGAGAATGTTGCAAAGTATGCTCATTCACTCCACCTCATATATATATATATATATATATATATATATATATATATATATATATATAATTTGAAAGAAGTCAAACTATAGGAAATAAGGTTAACTTTAAAGTATTCATGTTTTCTAGCTTCACTTTAATCCCGTCTATATAATCTTGAATTATCACAGTTGTACATTATGGCTTACTAAAGACAAATAAAAGTAAAAAGCTGACTATAACTAATCAGTGAATAATCTTTGCTTAATCCTTTATTATTTTATTTCTTATTTCATATAATACACATTTTGCATTCCTCTATGTGCATGTACATGTATATTAATGTTAGTGTGTGTACGCGTGAGTGTGTGTATATGAATAACTATCCCCTTACGAAATTTGCCATGTTGTGCAATTTCCTGTATTTCGTATGATTGTATAATTCAGTGGTATACCAAACGAAAAGAGAAGAATAACAGAAAAAAAAGATAAAAGAATAAATAGATAGTAATTAAACAAGCAGAAAACTTGTCATTGATAAAAGGAAAAATCACACACACAATATATATACATATATAATCGGGTATTCAAAAATACACAAATAATAATATTTATACTTTCAGTTGTATACACAACAGAACATGGGAAATATATATTTACAACCACTCCTGTATTTAGATAAGCAACCTACATCAAATAATGGAATGAATATTCATATATAGGTTATATCCGTAAAGTAAACTTGATAATAACCCCTTTTATCAATGATTTGAGAAAAAGTAATAATAACAATAATAGTGATGATGATAATAATATTAATAATGAGTACTATCATTTTTATTGTACTACTGGAAAGAGGGGGACTTGGCCAACATAATGAAAATACAGATCAGAGATGAAAAAAATTACAAATCTATGGATAAATAGATGGATAAACGTAAATGAGAAATAAAAACATTTTCTTAGACTGAAAAAAAAGAAAAAAAAATCCTTTTAATTTTCTACTTAATGTCTTCTTTTTAATGTTTTACATTCTCTTCCTGCTCCTCATTTTACCGGTACATAGTCATAATGTATAAAGTAGTGTAATTCATCATTAAATATACATACTTGATTGTTCTAGAAGAAATAATTAATAGTAATAGTATTAGTGCTTTCTTTCCTTCTCTCTCTCTCTCTCTAGTTTAAATTATTTCCTTTTGTACCCCTGTAAACGTAAAGATTAAAAATACAATTAAAGTATGATACAGATAGGCGACAGAGTGAATAACAGAGATATTTATTAGATGGGGAGGGGTGTACATGATTGGGTACATGTATATATATATATATATATATATATATATATATATATATATATATGGTTGACAGGTAACAATAATATTTCTGAATAGTTTTTCATAATATATAACTTTTCTTTTTACAAACACAATGATTTCTTACTCAGCTGGAATCAGAAAACACATTCATAACTTGTATTCCTTTAAAATTGTGTATTCAAACACGATACATTTGTAAAGAGGTTTTTTTCTTTTTTCCTTTTTTTTCTTTACTTGATATTTCATAATTTTCCAACTACACAAGTGTTAATTATGTTTTATCAATAGAAAAATGTAAAATAAATACATTCTGGTTTATATTTTGTCAATCACCAATATACAATGAAATAACATCAATTATTTTATAGGAAGATGCTAAATTTAAATAATCATGATAAATAAGGATGGTGATAAAGAAATATGTTAAGATTATTGAACATATGTTTTACTGATGTATTGAGAAATTACATGAATTCTATTGTTTGTTACAATTCAAATATAATGGGAAAGTGTGATCTAAAAAAGTTAAAACAATATTGTAGCCTTCACTGAAGATGCACATACGTATCTAGTCAAAAGCTTATTAAAATTTAACCTTGAAAATAGACCCTAATATAGTATACAGATCTTTACAAATGAAGAGAAGTATTAATCTATTAAAATAACTAATTAGGCATCATGATAATTACTAAAGATTGTGATTTATTACTATAGATACGGAAAACTCGACTTTTGCCAAATTGAATTATTTGTAGCATGGATGAAATGAATGTATGACGCAGAGGTCCTGTCTGTTTCATTCGATGGTTGCAAGATAGGGTCTATTAACGTAGGAATTATAAACAGGTTGGAAATTTTTGATCAATAGTGTTTTCAGAGTATTATTTATGTATCTTTGGATGAACGAGTAGACAATTTTGAGGTTAGGCATATGGTACTTAGCAAAAAATGTCAAGCAGTTAATGAAGATGTGAAAGTTCCTTAACTGAAGTGGTTGGAACATTTTAGAAATATGCACAATCGCTGTCTAACTGGATATACGATGTTAGACAGTTCCAAGAAAGCTAGATGTGGTCAAACCAAGACGTGACAGTTTATAAAATCATTTATTACTAGCCTTAGTCATATTAATAAATTCAGGCTACTTGGTTGAGGTATGCGCGTTAACTATGGTCAGTGATTAAAAACGTCGGATAAAATAACTCAGTAGCGTTCATAATGGAGTAAACGAATCCACTACTTACATATCTTTAGATATTCAGTTGCAATACTAATTCGTACATACCTTTTCATTACTTCTCGAATCATATTCTTAATGCTCAGTGTTTTTCACTATTACTGATACTAGGATTATTTAAACTTCTTGGCGATTCATCTTATCATAATTTCATCCCGTCATGCTGGTACTATATAGGAACTTGAGCTTAAGCATACTTAGGTCAGGCTCTTCATTGATTATGATTGGCTGGTACATAGATTACATTTGAAAGTAATAATCTGAGTTCATTTTTGGGTGAAATTATGAAAATATGATATTGAAGAGGTTCAAGACAAAACAAAATGGCTCTTCAATTTTTTTTAATCGATCTTTTCAGTTAATATCAGTTTGTAATGAAAACAAACTTCATATTTTATAACTGTAAGAAGTCTGTTAAAAAAGATGATTGAATGGATGTTTATTCATCTTTTGTTTACTCAAAGTTAAGATCACATCACTTTTTCACTGTTTTACAAGGATATACATCTTTCCAAATATTCATGTTGATCTTACTCTGTTCTGCTTGATAATTAATAAATACATTCTGTGCTAATTGGGAATGGTCATCTGAACGGATGTAAACATGCACCAGGTTCTATATCACACTTTTCTGGATGACTAACCTTATAGATTATCTACTTTATCTAAACAAATATATATCGCTTATTCAAATAGCTATCGTTAGTGTATGAGGTTTGAGAAAGTAGGTTAATTTTGCAGCTTACATTACGAACTGACTACAGTTAGATAATGACTGAAAACCAGAAACGCCCAGATAATTTATCGTCCTAGAATAGACTTCTAGGCGCTGTACATCTGTGATCCCATCAGGAATAGTAAATTAACTGAAGCTAATAATGATTTTGTTTGTACTTATTGATTAAATGATTCAAATTTTCTCAATGGTTTACCATAATCACTAACCTACATTTAAACTATAGGTTAGATGGAATGAATGATAATTTAAATAATTACATGAAAACATAAAATGTAAAACAATCGTTGTGTAAACAAGCCTCTCAAAATGAAAGCTATGATAACTATTGATGTCGATAACAGAACGTTTAGTAGTTAATCTTTCACAAATGATGTGTACTCACTTATTTTTGATAAAATTAATAATAATAATAATAATAATAATAATAATAATGTTATCTGTGAGTATTATCTTAAAAATACACAACTCCATAAGATTACTCACTGGGAACTTATGACAGTCTAATTAATCTAAGTGGATAACACGATGGCGTTTGAAGCGAATGATACTGGGTTCGAGCCCCGGAGTG